TACGAATGATCCGAACAATCAATACTGCAATGCAGCCCTGAACACACATCATCATCATCGTTATCTGGTGTGAAGGGGGGTCTGGCGCTTCACACAAGAAGACTGCGCCAGCCCCAACCATACACAGACGAAGAAGGAGGGGTTAGACGAAAGAGGAGGGGAAGATGGGAATGTCGTCAACACCAAGTCTCGGTACAGGCCCAAATAGTCCCTCGTCGAAATGTCTGAATCCCAATGTCCAGTCTGGATCCAATGTCGTCAAGTCTCAAGTCACAACTCTTTCTCTCTCTGTCGTAGTCTGAGAAGTCAGGTGGCGAGAGGGTGAGAAGAGATGGTGGACTTAGAAGAGGAAGAAGAAGAACTCTCTCTCTCTCTCTGTGTCCAGTACTAACCTGTGCAGTTGGCACCTTGATGCAGGTACCACGAAGATGGAGCTGGAGCGATGGCGCCACAGGTAAGTACCACTGGCCTCCGCCGGCATCTCTCCCACTCTACGATCTACCACCTACCAGCGCCCAGCGCTGAAGACTACTCTATGGCTATGGCGCCCAGCGCCGAAGACTACAGCTAGCGCTAACTCCTGCCTAGCGCTGAAGACTACTGCAGCGCTCATCCTGAGTGCTGCGGCCGAATCCTGAAGACTACCCATGCCTACTGGAAAACTACCTACCTGTGAAGTGCCTGGGACGCCCTATGAACTACCCGGGTGCCTCCTGACTGCAGGCGAGCAGTCCAGGAGGCTGCTCTTGCCAATGCCGATCGGAGGCAGGGGCTGCAGCTGCAGCTCCTGCTCRAGCTCGTGAGGAACAGGCTATTTCTGGCCTGTTCCGCATCCCTGTTTACGTGCCTGAGTCTTAGGGGCGGTTGAAACAATGAGGGCCTGAAAATGGCCCTCCATTTCAGGCTGGAAAAACTCTGGGTCTGAAGACCCAGAAATAGGCTGAAACGGAGTAGGGCCTGCAGGCCCTCGTTTTTCAGCTTTCAGGCTGAAACGACCGGGGCCTGTAAGCCCTAAGTTTTAGGCTTTTAGGCTGACTGTCCGGGACGGGCCCTGCAGGGCCCGTGTGGCTACGCAGTATGCCACAGTAATAGCTGTGGTAGTAGGGTCAGTGTAATAGCGTTGATAATATTGCCAGCACAAAGTGTTGTTAATAGCATTGGTAAATTGGTAATAGTGTCGATCATAGTTGTGGCGCACCTCGGTGCGCACACGTTGCACACCGCGCCACTGCACAGCACTGGGAAAACTAGGTCCCCAAAAAAAAAAAAAAAACAGGTAGGGGGTTTGTAATTTCTTAGGGTCCCCAACTCGACAAAAATGTTAAACTCACCGCGCGAGTTCAGAAACCGGTCGCGCCCGCAGCCCGAAAAGTTTTCTGGGCAAGGGCTGCCGAATTTCGATTTCCACAGGCCCTTCCCCCAAAAGTTTCAAAGTGGTGAATCATATTCCAACTTTTTTAAAAGGCTGGGTGTGGAAACTGGCCTTCCCCCTCCCTTCTGCAAATCCCACACAGTGACGGGAAAAATTCGCAAGAAGGGCGACCTGCACAGCAAAGATTTGCAGAAGTCACAAGATGTGTTTTGCACTGCCAGCCAACCACCAATATATGCTGAAGATTGGCATTCAGGTCTGCATGTCGGCAGTTCTGGGTTAGGAACTTAGGAACTTAGGATGAAGATGCCTGTAGCTCTCTCTTTTTTTTGTTTTTGTGTTCTTATGAATACGTACAGTGGGGCCTGCTCCACTACTCACCACATGCACAAAAGACAGCATATGGCAGTGTATGGTTCCATGTTTTAGCAGAAGATTCATTCTACTACTGTTATATACTTTTTTTTTTTTCTAATTTATATACATTTGGTGAGTGGTGGAGGTTGGCCCTGAGAATCACGTGGAGACACGAACAGGGTCTAGCTGGATTGGTGACCCATAACTGCCGAGCTACAGCCCTGAACTCGAACCCACAGCATATATTGGTGGTCTGCTCCCATCTCTTCCACATATGCTGTGGCCATCCTTCTTGTTGAAGCAGTGGTCCTCAACGACTCCACATATATTGTAGGAGCCATTCGAGGTACCTACAGGGGCCCTCGAATTGACGTGAAGGGGACCCGTTGGTCTCTCTCTCTCTCTCTCTCTCTCTCTCTCTCTCTCTCTCTCTGGGGCCCCTTTTTTTTTTTCCCTTTCCGTGCACACGGCCCACCTCCCTCACAGTGCGCGCACTGTCATTCCAGCACACAGCGCACAGCACACCAGCCCGCACCGCACAGCGCCGCACTGCGCACTGGTGCGCCACAACTATGGTGTCGATACTAGTGTCCATAACCACATCAGTAATCTTATCAGTAATCAGATCGGCACGCGTGTTGGTAATGCAGTTGCACTATATCTTGTGATTGAAACAAACGAGTGTGGCTGTGAATCGCCACAGATGATCTTTTTTTCTTCTTTCTCCCTCCAGATAGATAGAATGGAGGCAGCCTGAGTTTGAATCCAGATGGAACTAGATCAGTAAAAATACTAAAAATAACTCTGAATTACATGCGCCAGTCAGTTCAAACTTCAATGAGGATTTATCAAGGCTATCACGGAAATTGAGTCTACGCATGCAGTGGGTAAGTAAACAAGTGATATAATAATAAGCCACTCTGCCCACCAAGTCCAACCATCCCAGAGCGTCTCTACACTGAAACACCGAATGCTTTGTTGAAAATTGCTGAATTAATTTGAGACCCGAACAAAGTGCATGGGATTGACTAAATAGTAATATAGCATATCTATGCAAAAACCTCAGCACCTGAGACCTACTTTGGAAAATCAATCAGCAGCTACCATCGACAATGGTGGCATTGGTAATAGATTCAGGTAATAGATTTGGGCATCAGTAACCCACTGTTTGTTCCTCCCAAGATTTCAGCCCGTGCAGTGTTTCTGGTTGGCTGACATGTTGGCTACAGTGCAGGCTACAGTCTTCCCCCGAATACAACGTAGGGTCATTATAGCTGAATTTGGGGCATCTTTCAGTCTAAATTATTATAGCTGAATTTGGGGCATCTGCAATGAACCCATTCTGCACATCTTTCAGTCTAAATTCAGCTGTAATGACCATATGTTGTATTCGGGGGAAGAAGGTAGATTAAGAGCATCTCGGCCTCATAAGCCTTGTATGCTGCTGCTCTGTTGCGAAGTAGAACAACAAAATGAAAGCACAACTGTTTTCATTCAACGGTTCGGTTCAGCCTGGCAACACCCAATAGGGAGCCAGCTCAACCAGCACAGAGTGCAAGGAGGAGGATTGGAATGCTTGATATAGTAGGCACGGGTGACAAGCAAGAAGGAAGACTGAGGGCTTTGCCATTGGGGTGACAGCCAAAGATTGCCCCAAGGAGATAGTGGACTGTGTATCTGGTATCTTACTGAGACAAGGCCCAGATTCCCATAGGAGGCAGCAGTGGGGAATCTAGGGAGTGGCAGGAAGCCCGATCCAGCAACATCGCGTGGTTGAAGAAGGGGATTTATCTTGCAAAGCCCTTTCATTGGTAGTTGATTGAGTCAGTGTTGCATACCCCGACGGTTGGCTTGACTGGTCGGCTGCCAACCAGCCAACCGGTCGGGGTTCGTCGGCACCCCGCAAAAAAAAAAAAGGGTCCAGAACCCCTAATAACCCCGCCAAGATCCCCATACCGGCCCCCAATACCCCCACAGCCCCCCCC